GTTTATTTACAAAATTCTAATACAAATTTGAACAAATTCTTTCCATTTCCCTCACTCCCCACCCATCAAATTGTACAACTCAATGATTAGTCCCCTCTTCTCCCTGCACATCCACATCCCTCTGCCTTCAGCGTCTCCCTCTCTGAGTATTCACTTTCTTAATAGCTTACATTATTTCACCATTTGCACTTTCTTCTGTAGATTTTGAAATAACTTCACGTCAGTACATTTCTTCTAGTTCTCTGCCTCTACATATCCACTTTATTTCTGGCTTCCGTTGTTTCTTCCCCCATTCATACCCTCTTCTGTAGCTGTTCCTATATCTCCATATCAATGCATATCTTCTGCTTCCCTGACTCTGAGGTTTTTATGGGTTCTGTAATATGTTCTGCTTTTTTTGAGAGAAGGTTTAAGTTGTTCTATCACAATGTTTGAAGCCATCTGCTGCTTTCTTGACATTATGTGGTTCCTCTTGATAAGTGTTAGGCTGTTTCTATTGTATATACATTAGTTGTTGATAGTTCTTATCTTTATGATGTTATTGATTAGTTGCCAGCTTAAAATATTCAGTGTATGGGGTGAGCCACTCACTCTACTGGAAGTCCTTTTTGGGAAAGTTTGTCCTTCCTGAAGTCTTTCAGGTTCTCTCTGGTAGGCAGTAGACCCCTACAGGAATTTCATCTAGTTGTTGTGCCTTCTCTCAAGTTCTATTTTTCCTGTTTGTCTGCAGAGAAGCAGTGGTTGAGATCAAGTGCTCCACTTAAGCAGTTTCTGCCCAGGGGGCTTTTAAAGGCAGTTTGCTATCTAGCACCTCAGCAAGCGAGCTTTGCAAGAGAGTCACTGCTTGGAGCTCCCTGTCCAAACTCTACTGTCCTCCTGGGTCCTTGGGATGGCCCTGTGGTGGAGGTGGTGTTGTTATGTGCCGTCGAGTCGCTTGCGACTCATAGCGACCCTGTGTACAACAGCCCTGAACTCCACTCTGTCCTGTGCCAATCGCACTGTCTATGACACTCCCATCCCAATTATCCCAGTCACTGAATTAATCCACCTCATGGAGGGTCTTCCCCTCCTGCTCTGTCCCTCTACCCTACCAAGCATGATGTCCCTCTCTAAAGACCTGTCTCTCCTTACAACATGTCCAAAATATGTCAGACGGAGCCGCAGAATCCTTGCCTCCAAGGAGCCACCCAGTTTGACCCTTTCCAGGATGAATCTGTTTGTTTTCCTAGCAGTCCATGGTACCCTCAATACTCTTCTCCAGCACCACAGATCAAAGGCATCAATTATCCTTCTATCCTCCTTGGTCATTCTCCAACTCTCTGATGCATAACAAGTGATTGCAAAGACCATGGCCTGTATCAGATGCAACTTAGTCTCCAGAGAAACACCATCATGTTATAGAAAGGCCTGATACAGGCCTGTGGTGTTAGGGATTCCCAAATGTAGGAGCCTTTCTCTTAGAAAGTTTCAGACTCTTATCTGCCTCGTGCTTGAAAGCATTCACCTTCCTTTTTATTTTTAATGATGGGTTCTTCTATGCATAGGTTCTATTTGATTATAATTAAGTAGTCTGAAATTACTATTTAAAAAATATTAATAGATATTGGGCTCTTAGGATATTTTAAGCAGAATTCAAAGACTTTGTCTATATAAAATTATTTAATTCTCACTATTACCCTAAGTTATTGTTGTTTTCTATTACCCTAAGTAATAGGAGGCAATTCTATTCTGTTCTGTCCTGTCCTTATTGCGTAGCTATGAGTCAAAATCAACTCAGTGACAATGGGTTACTTTTTAAAAAAATATTTCTTCTTCTCTGCCTTTCTCATTACCTCTACATTTTCATTTCTTCACTCTCCCAAATAAGAGATATCGAGAAAAGGAAGCAATTGTTCTTTGAATATAAAGTAATACCATAATCTAGTTGTATAAATATTACTGTTGTTGTTGTGTACTGTTTAATAAGAACCAACTGACAGCTAACCCTCCAGGAGGTTTTCAGACGTAATTTGCACAAGAGGAGATTGTCCATCCTTCTCCCGCAGAGTGGCTGGTGGATTGAAACCCTGAGCCTTTTGGGATTGCAGTGCAGTTTCTTACCACTCTGCTATCAATTGGCCTTTCTCTTAGAATATTATCAATCCAGCCTCGTTTCTCTCATCTTCTGTTTGCTTCTTTTACTACATGGCTAAAGCTCTACAGTGAAGATGAGGGGTGGGGATCTTCATTGTATATCAAAGATACTTAATTTATATAACATTTCATGAGAAGAGTCAGAAAGCAAATGACCTAAAAGAGAGAAAATATCTCCTCAAAAAAGGCCCAGTGAGGTAGAGGTCAAGGTCTTATAGGAAAAATAAGGAAGGATCTGGTATTAAGCAGATACACAACTTCTCTACTTTTGGCCTCTATCATTCCTTTGCCCTTAATTTTGTACCAATAATGCTTTTTTAAGAAATATAGATTTCAGGCTCCACAGTCAGGAAATCAAAGGATAAATTGTATTGGGAAGTCTGCTGTCAAGGACTTCTCCAGAGTGTTAGATAAAGAGAGCAATGATATCAGTCTAGAGACAAAGGTATGCCTGATCAAAGACATGGTCTTCTGATGCTGTGCATCACAGAGCTGGGCAATGACTAAGAATAGGAAAAGCGACCAGTGCCTTTGAGTTGTGCTGCTGGAGAAGAATATTCCATATACCAGCAAGAGAACAAATAGATCTGTCTTCAAGAGGGTGAAACCACATTTCTCCTTAGAAGAGAGGATTTTGAAACTCCATCTCACATACTTTGTGCACGTGGCCAGGCGGGACCAGTTCTTGGAGGAAAATATCATTCTTGGAAGGTGGAAGGACAGCACTAGAGAGGAAGAGCCCAGATAAAATAGAAAAAATAGACATGATAACTGGGGAAATGGCATTACGTGTGTTGGAGTTAGTAAGACTGGCTCAGGGTAGGGCAGGATTCAGAGCTTTTGTTCATAGGGTTGCTATGGGTTGCAGGCAACTCAATGACATATAACAAAACAACAAAGATTTTTTTTTTTTTTTACCAAAAGCTGTAAGGCCTAACCGTACTACACATTCCACATTCTGTGCATCCACTACCAGTATTTAATGGTTTTTATGGTTACAGATTCCCCTATTATCCTAAAAGGTCTTCTAAGGAACACATGATTTTAGCCTTCACAGCCTGAGAGACTAAAGAATAGGCTCTTATATAAAGAATTAGCTATGAGTCAGTTCTGACTTGACAGCAGTGAGTTTGAGGGTTTTCTCTGAGTTCTGATACCATAATCCATAGGGAATTGAACTGCTTACCCAGAGATGGTGACTCTCTGGCAGTTTGAAATGATCAGAAGCTCTGCAAGACAGCCTCAGAAAACACTCTGGAGGGTTGGTTATGAGGTAACTCTCCACACTTGAGCCCAAAGAGTTGAATTTGTTTGTTTTGAGTTACACGAAGGAGATGCATTTCGGAGGAGGCCATTCTAGCTTGATTTGAGGGCAAACAGCAGAGATAGCTTAAGTTTTTTGGATGGTAAAAGTTTCCTTAAACAAAAAAAATCTGTAATGACCTCTCTTAGGATGAGCAATCTCCTCTCATATGATTTACAGACTCAGAAACCCAAAGGAGGGTCAGCTATGAGTTGGATTCAATTTGGTGGCAATGAGAGAGAGAGAGAGAGACCCTTGACATGATGAAAGAAAAATGACAGTTCATCTTTGATGACTCCCTCCCAGCAACTCTAGTCAAACTATTGGAACAAGTATCAAATCTTTGTGAGACATTTCACAGAATATCTTATTCTTTAAAAACAGTCAAAGTTTAAACCTTTACAAACAAGGAAAAACTTAAGAAACTTTTTCATATCAGGAAAGGTTAAGAAGACTTGAAAATGGAAAGCAACAGGGTATTCTAGATGAAATTATGATACAGAAAAAGGATATTAGGAAATAACTAGCAAAAGAAAAAATAATGGAAGAGTTTCATTAGCAGAAAAATGCCAATGTTGCACCAATATAATTTTTAGCTGTACTAAATAATAGTCTCCTGCTTACCTGTTGGCTATGACAAAAAAATCATGTAAATAGTATATAGAAGCTTTCGTTATTACCTCTACAATATTTCTGTAAATATGAAACTATTCAAAAATATTAAAAAGCTTAAACATAAAAATGAACAAATAAGAGAGATTCATAATTTTACTTACTTTGGATGTTAAGGGTTTTTTTTAATTGCTGTTTTAGATTCAGCTAAAACAGTATGGATGATAAGAAGTTAGGAGTGTATGTTTTGGACTGTTATTTATTAGTGGTTATTAAATGCCGTCAAGTTGTAGAGGACTCATAGTGACCCCTCTGAACAAAAGACCCGAACACTTGTATAACTTTCATCCTTTCTCCAGGTTCATAGTTTCCGGAGGCAGGCTATTTCAGAAGTGAATGCCACTCCTGCTTCCAAGCTTGTTTTAATCGGAGAGCTCCACCAATCATTGTCCACCATGGGTGACCATTATCACATTTGACACATCAGTGTCACAGTGTTCAGCCTCACAGTAACCACAAGTTACCTCTGTATGGCAAAGAGACCAACCAGTGCTATACCACTTAGAAGAATGTTTGACCAAAAACAATTAAAAAACCAGGCCTGAGGGCCGCGGATTGAAATCACCCACCTTTGGCTTAAGAGCTTCGCTTTCTGTCCACGAGGCCAATTGAGCTTTCTCTATGTTGTTGCTATTACTGTTGTTAAGTGCTGTCGCGTCGTAGATGAATCACAGCGACCCAATGAACAAAAGACCTGAACACTTGTATAATCTGACTAGCCAGCATTTTATTTTAAAAATATGGCTTGATCAGCATTTTAAAAAGGTCATTATTTAGGTTCATAGTAATGGAAATGCTTCTTGTCATCATAGAGTGTGCGCTTATAGCCAGTTAGTATATGTTCATCCTTTGCTGTTAATATTTTATCCCATCATAAGTTATTTTCTTCCAGGTTCAAAACATCAGAAGACATAAATTTAGGTGTTAAATATAAAGAAAGAAATATCCACAAGAGAAGAAGACATAAACTTTACAATTATGAAGTTTTTATAAAAGCAACCAGTAAGTAATATTTATTCCTACATTTTATAATGTGATAATTATATAAATGTAATTAAGACAAGTAGTTATTCTACCGTGCCAGTAATGACCCTATCCTTTAAACCTGAAGGTCATGTGAACTCCCTTTGACAGTGAAGGAGAGGAAGGTCCAGAGACACAAAGTAACTAGTTCAAAGCTGCATATTGTATGAGTCGCGAATGCTGCCAGCATAGAAGTGCAAAATCTAAACGAAAAAAGCAGGGAAATAGTCCTTAAGTAGCCCTGGTGTTGTATTGCTTCACATGTCATTCTTACTGATTATTGTCAGAATCTACCCATAGCTGACTTTCCAGAGGGTTTTCAGAGGCTGTAAATCACATGGGAGGAGATCGCCCATCTTTCTTTAACTTTGTTTCCTATATGGAGCTGCTAATGGAAACAGCGGCATTTAAAATCCACCAGCCGATCTGAAGAAAAAAGCTGGGCAGTGTCTTTTCTCCTCAAGAATTTACAGACTTGGAAATTCACTGGCAGGTTGCTGCTTGAACTGACTAGGTAGCGGTGGGTGGAATAGTCCCTAAAAGGAGCCTTGGTATTATAACAGTTAAGCTTCTCACCAAAGAGTTGGCAGTTCAACTCACCATTAACTCCCCAGGAGAACTATGTGGCTGAAACATTTGGCCGTTTGCTGTTACAGACTCCAGCCTTGTGAGATCTAGGGGCGGTTGGACTTTCTTCTGTAAAATCGACGTGAGTCAGAACTGACTCAATAGCATAGCTTCAAACTATTAGCAGTAGTATGTTCATTCTTTCTCTTAAGTATTTAAGATAAGAAGTAGAAACAAAATGATATGTTTTTTTTCTTTCAAAAAGTCCATACCCATGCAGCACACTGTCTAGTTTTTATCTGACCAGAAAAGAATGATGAAAATAATAATTGGGAAAAAGGGGCTGTTAGCATATGGAAGAACAATATTTAAAAACCTATAGGGATCATTCTTGAATCTCTATTGTATAATGAGAATATTTTACTTACTGTAAATAGTTTTCAACTTTGATCCCTGGAGAAGCAGAACTACATGGCAGATATGTTGATTTTAGAATTTCTGATAAAATTTTACTTCAAAAGTCAATAACTGGTGACATAGCACCGACATTTTTTTCTCTTTTTTTCTTGAATTTTATTATTTTTTGTGTGTGTACCATCAAATCAGATCTGACTGGTTGGTACAGGAGGAGACTGCCCCTCCTTCTCCAGCAGAGCATCTGGTGGATTCGAACTGCACACCTCTGGGATTGCAGTGCAACTTCTTGCCACCAGAGCTCCCAGGACCACCCTTTCTAATCTAACCTGTTTTATAGATTTTGGTCAGGTTTATACGAGGTACTTCGAACCACAAACTGAATCCACTGCTGATCTAAGTGGATTCTAACTCTTGATGATATTCCATCAGGTTTCAGAGGCTGTGACACTTGAAGCATAGAGTAGTTTTTATTGCATGAAGTAGCTGGTAGGTTCAAACTACCAACCTTTTGGTTAGCAGTCCCCTTGTGTTGTGCACTCTCCCACCAGTGTTCCTTTAAAGTACTTTAAATGGTGCTTTTGGATTGTATTGTATCAGTATTCTTGTGTTTTTGTTATAGCTACCCTTGCTTTCTTCTGAGGACAGCCTTTGTTTAAACCTTCACTCTGCCATTTATGAGTTCAGCAAACCAAGGCAATTAACGAAAGCATTCTGAGCCCTCATTTCTTTACTGTCAAATGGGTTTACCTTACAGACTGTGAATATTTACGCTTAGACAACATACACCTTTGTTTTCAAGGTGTGGTCTCTTTGCTCTTATCACCTGGAATGTATTATCCATGCAGATGATGGGACTCTATCCAACCCTATGATGTCCAGACCAATGAGTAGCTGGTACATGGCAATCTGAGTTTTATCAAGCACTAGAAGTTATTCTGAAATCTGCTAAAGTTTGAGAACCACTAACATATTGTTCCGTAACAGGTGCTGACTATCGATTAGTTTCCTTTTCCTAGAAATTGAGGCTGCCAGGACCAATAGAATACCACACCTACTCTCCCGGAACTAACAGTCAAACATAAAATCATCTCGAATCAAGCATTGGTAGCTTTCTAGTCCATGTATCCATTTACCACATGTACACAAAGAAAACTTGTAAAAAAAATTTTACCAAAGAAAACTTGTAAAAATTATTTTATCTTAGACTTTGCTTTTAAGGACATGATTAAAATAGCTTCCCATTGTCTCGTTATGTGCATTATAAATACAATGATAATATCTCTGGTTTGCATTGAAGGGAACACTTCCAGGTACCTGCAAATTCAAAATTTTAGGTGGTTTGTTAAACATTGAAAAAAGCAGATTCCATTTCACAAAGGATTCATTTTTCCTGCTGATAAAAGAGAAACTGAAGCTTTTCCAACTCATGTTCAAGTGAAAATGGCAAAAGAATACAAAATAAAAAAATAGATGGGAAGCTCTGAATTCCTTTTAGTTATTTTGAATAAAAAAGATCGTGGGTTTATCTTGAACAGCTGTGTTTACAGGGTTTGCTGATCGTTGCAGCTGTATCAGCTGAGTAACAGGAAGGTTACATTTTTTCAAAAGTTAACTTCGCTTAGAAATGTGCTACTTTCTCCTGTGGAATTAATGATACTGCACTTTTCTCCTGTCCTGCCTTACATCCTGCTGGTGAAGGTGCATTTAGGTCATTAAGCATCGGAGCCCTTGAAGAGCTGCCTGAAGTGAGTGAGCCTGCTTTTCTTCGAGACCCGGAGAAATACTTTCGGGAGGAACCAGAAGAGAAACGTCCCCAGATTCCACACCTTCCATCACTTTCTGAAAGTAAGACTTCAGTGGTCAGGTATCTTCCTTATCTTTTGCCGTGAAAGTCAATCAATTTAAGAAATCAAGTAGAATTAACATGAAAGAAACACATGTTTGCTTTGTAGGTCGCAGGGAAATGAAGTGTGTATTACTGTCAAGATTTATAGTTGTGGCTGGTCTGTCAGATTGGAATAAATGAAAAGAATATTTTTATTTTGTAGAGTTTAAGTCAGAAGGCCAAGAACATTATCAACCTTAAGTTGGTCCTGAATGAGAAGTCCTCCACCAATTCAAGGCTTTATTTTTGAAACTGAGAACTAAAGAAGAAGATCTCATAGGACTGCTTTAGAACTGAATCTCTGACAATTTGATTTTGTTCTTTGCATGTGGAACACTATAAATAGAGGCTACTTAAAGTACATTGTCCTGGAGGCTTCCAGCTGCACTGCTTGGATAATATGACGATAAGAAAGCTTAACTTAGATAATAAAAGTGAATGATTTTGAAGATGTGGAAAGATGATTGCAAAAAGAGCTGATTTGTTTTTTCAAGACTCTTCCAGACTTCTGTCTTTGAGAGTAATTTCTGGACAAGAAAAAAAAAATCCAACCTGCAACGAGGGTGCTCTGGGAGCTCCAGGCAGCACAACCTAATTCTCAGTGAAGCAAGCAGAAAGCAGATGGTCACTGCAGGGAAACACATTTAAAATAATTAAAGCGTGAGTTTTCAACTTGTAACATTCAAGAGATCAGAACTCTGCTTGAGAATCTGAGAGCTCTTGCTCCTGAACTTTTAAAGTCTACCGAGAGGAGGGTTCACCATCACCTTTGAGAAATAAAAGCCCTTTGCAGTAGGGAGGTGTTTCCTGAAGTCCACTCTTGCAGAGGTTTAAGCCTTCTCTTCTTGGCCCTCCGTGGAAAGGGAGAAGAGCTGGCCATTTTTTTCTCTTCTTCTTTTAAAATCCCACTTATAAGCAAGTTACAGCTGTCATGCCTCATCTCTACAATTTACAGTCTAATTATCACCGGCTTCCATTACCTTAGAGATTTTATTTTCTAAATATATTTCACTGGGCTACTCAGGGGAGGGCCATCTGTGGCTTTTGCCTATTCCTTTTAAAAAATGTAAAGTTACAGACTATAGAATTCCAAATAATTGTTGGAGCATCGAGTCAAGCTACCATCCTGTTGTTTTTCGCCAGGATTATTCAGCTTTAAGAAGGAATATGGAGAGTTGATATTTTGTGGACTTCAGAGAGAGGGGCAACTAAGGGAGGCAAGTAGACAGTAAGGAAACATCCAGAGAGTCAAGACAAAAGTGTAAAGATAATTTAAGTATACCAAATGTACACAGGAGAAAACCAAGACATAGAGCAAAGTAAGATTTGAGAGAAATTAAATAGGACTCAGGGGGAAAAAATCTGAAGAGCAAAAATGGAGGAAAGAGCTAAATGAGCAGTTAAGTCAGCCAACCACTCCCTTCTGCAGTGAGAGTCCTGGCTCCAGTGAGAAGCCTTTTATATTTTGTTGCACGAGGGGTCAGCACATTGTATTTCCTTATGCAGAATGTGTGTCAGAGGGGCATAGGGATGGGTTGCTATGTGCCATTGAGTTGGAACCAACCCATGGCTGACCTTCTAGCAGGTTTTCAGAGAGAGTAAATTGTGTGGGAGGAGGGTATCAGTCCCTTTTCTGTGGACCAGCTGGTGGATTCAAACCACGTGCCTTTGGGATTGCTTTGCATCTTCTTATATAAGGCTGAGTGGTGGTATAAAAATACTTAAAATATCTAAATGACTATACATTTTCAATAGTACTTTTCTCTTGGATTTTTTCATTTTGAAACCTACATTTACAAGATCCCCTACAATTTAAAAAAAAATTCCTATTTTTTTCTCTTACACTTTTCTTCTTTTGCCTTTTGCTTATATTTTCATGAATATGTAATGAAAATATACATATGGCAATGAATGTTAATACAAATATATGAATATGGTAATGAAAATATATATCCTTCTTTAAAAAGTTCTCATCGATATGTGAAAGATAGATGCATGTCAATGAAGGCTAAATTATATGGGCTTCCATAGAGGAGACTCTGTTTAAGAACCATGATAATTCTGTGACTTAGGAGAGGGTTCATAGAACAAGTCTCCTATTTGACCTCTGACTAAAACAAATAGTAGATTTTCAAGAGATTTGGGAGGGAAAAAGACAAGCAAAGTTGAGAATGATGTCAGCAAAGGCATAGAAGAGAAATAAGGGGTAGAAGTTAAGATAATGCCAAGTTTATTGCAATTGAGTGGCTTCAGATGATGAAATGTTACTTGCATTAGGTATACATAAATGGAGGTAAACTGTAAAGATTTGAGTTTGCAATGTATTGAGTTTGAGGTACTGGTATCTTTTGAAAGTGAAGATTTCAAAGATATAGTAATATACTCTGCATAATAAAACATCTTTAACTACTTTAATAGCAACTGCTCAATTATGAGCTCAGATTTCCTAAGGTAGTTGTTGAATTTCTCTGTGCTGCCCTGTGGTGGGTGTCGAAGACACAGAAAGACCATGTGGAGCGTAGCTTTCAAAGCTCTTGAATTCTAATTGGGAAACATCAACAAATAATATTTCACAACAGACTGGAGATAAGACCTGGGTATTGTGGGAGCACATGGAGAGTGATAGGTTCTTCTTTTCAGAGAGAGTAATTATACATATACTATGCTGTGTAGATGACACAACTGGACTTGCTGAAAGTGAAGAGGACTTGAAGCGTTTACTGCAGAAGATAAGAAAACACAGGCTTCAATATGAATTGCATTTTAACTTCAAGAAACAAGAATTTTCACCACTGGACCAGTAGGCAACATCATGATAGATGGAGGGAAAAGAAATTGAAATTGTCAATAACTTCATCTTACTTGGATCCATAGTCAACACCCTTGATGCCAGCAGTCAGGAGATGTATTGCACTGGAAAAGTCTGGAACCTCTCCAAATTATTGAAGAGCAATGATGTCAGTTTAAGGAATAAGATGTGCCCAGTTCAGGCTTTTCAATGACTTGCTATGTATCAGAGAACGGGACAATGAAAAGGATGACAGAAGAATTGATGTCTTCGAGCTGTAGTATTGGAGAGGAGTACTGAATGTCCCATAGACTCTCAAAGGAGCAAACAGAAATGTCATGAAGAAGGTGCAACCACAACGGTCTTTGGAGGTAAAATGATAAAGCTTTGTCTCACAAACTTGGGGTATGTGACTAGAAGAGGCTTTTCCCTGGAGAAGGACATCATGCTTGGAAAAGTGGAGGCAGAGAAAGAGAGAAAGACCCTCAATCAGATGAACCGACACAGTGAGAGCAGTGACGGGTGTGAGTATGTCAGCAATTGTGACGATCGCTCAGAACAAGACAAGTTTCAAACTTATTCCTACGATTGCAGTAGGTCATACTGAACTCAACGACACCTAACAACAATTGTTGTTGTTGTTATGTGCCGTCGAGTCGCTTGCGACTCATAGCGACCCTATGTACAACAGCCCTAAACTCTGTCCTGTGCCAATCTCATTGTCTCCGACACACTCATCCTGATTACCCCAGTCACTCAATCAATCCACCTCATAGGGGGCCTTCCCCTCCTGCGCTGTCCCTCCACCCTACCAAGCATGATGTCCCTCTCCAAGGACCAGTCTCTCCTTACAACATGTCCAAAGTATGTCAGACGCAGCCTCAGAATCCTTGCCTTTAAGGAGTAGTCTGTTTTAACCCTCTCAAGGACGAATCTGTTTGTTTTCTTGGCAGTCCATGGTACCCTCAATACTCTTCTCCAGCATCACAGCTCAAAGGCATCAATTCTCCTTCTATCCTCCCTAGTCATTGTCCAACTCTCTGATGCATAACAAGTGATTGAAAAGACCATGGCCTGTATCAGATACACCTTAACCTCCAGAGAGACACTGTTGCTCTTCAGTACTTTAGAGAGGTTCATAACAGCAGACTTTCCCATCACAATATGTCTTTTGATTTCCTGGCTGCTGGTGCCAAGAGTGTTGATTGTGGAGCCAAGCAAACTAAAGCTGTGAACAATCTCAATCTCTTCACCATCCATCCTGATGCTGCCCATTGGCCCAGTGGTGAGAATCTTTGTCTTCTTGACATTGAGCCTCAATTCATATTGGAGGCTGCAGTCCTTGACCCTCTGCAGCAAGCGCTTCAGGTCCTCCTCAGTTTCAGCAAACAAGGTTGTGTCAGTTACACATATTAATTTAAAGTCATTTATATAATTTAAAGTAAAATTGGTAATATCCAGGTAAGACAATAGGAGAGTTTTATTTCTGGCCAAAAATGTAGGCCATAAATGAAAGGTTGTATTAATAACACGATTAACAAAGGGAACTACAAATAGTTTCAAAGAGTTGAGTTCCAGAAGGGGCATGAAGAAAATTAAAACTAAATAGAAAAGTAAGGTTCAAATCATGTAGCACCTCTTGTATTGTAAACACAGTTTGGTGTTCATATTTTATCAGATATATGAAGCAATTGAAATGCTTTAAGTAAGTAATCTGACTCATTTAATTTTATCTCTTCTCCTCTATTAATTCTTTATGTATTTTTTTAATATTTTTTTATTTTTGTGTGTGTACTGTCAAATCGGATCTGACTGGTACTGGAGGAAATTGTCCCTCCTTCCCCGGCAGAGCATCTGGTGGATTTGAACCATGAGCCTCTGGGATTGCAATGCAGCTTCTTGCCACTAGGCCACCAGAACTCCCCTTAATTTATGTATTTTTTTGTATTATAAGTTTGATAATTATCCTAGAGATAATTCTCCTTTCTTAGGATCTTTATTTAATTTTTTTAAATTAGCATCCTATCTAGTATAATTTTCCTTAAGAAATTAGAATTTGTTGCAGTATTACTTACAATGTGAATTTGCTTATGAATAATTGTTTTAGTTCTTATGTATCTGAAAAAAAAGTATATATCACTTTTATTTTAGAAGGATATTTCCAATGGAAAT